GGCCAGGGCTCCAACCCGGACCGCTCGCTCTGGAGCCGAGCGCACTAACCATAAGCCACCACGCTTGTCCTTAAAGAAACAATTAATTCTTTTATCCGTTCATTAACAAAAAGCAGCCGAGTTTACCAAGATTGGCGTTAGTACTATACGTTCTCACTGGTTTCCATTTACAGCCTGCCTTTCCCAAATGATCTCCACGACTCATGATTTTGTGGAAAAATGACAAACATATCAATATTTGCTCTGTAGATTACTTGTGTGGGAGGAGTTCATGTTTGCTTGTGCCATGTACCCAGCAGATCAGGAATTCTTGAACTCAGTCAAAGAAGAAGTGCGATATCAGGTAAAATTAACAAATTGACGCCAGTTTTTCATGCGTCTGTCCTGTCGTTGATCATGAATTTCGTCACAACATTGTCAAAGCAGCTGGCATGTGGATCCACGAGGGGATAGCCGAGTGGATCCGCCGACTATTTTGACAATGTTATGACGAAATTCATTATCAATAACAGGAGAGACGCATGAAAAACTAACTTCAATTAGTTTTTTACGACAACAAATTGTCAAATTGCCTGCTCTCGTTCATTGACGCCTCACATAAATTATAAATTCATGTGTCTGTCCGCTTTAGTATTGACAATGAAAATTAGCCAGTGAGCACGCGAGAATTTCTGTAGCTATTGTAAAAGAGATTAATCAATACAGCTTGGCTTTCATAATACATACACTGAATTAATACCCGTTCCTCAACGCATGATTAAATAGGCCAGTTCCGAGTTGCCTCGTAGTCTAGAGCGACATTCACAATCCCCCCTTATTCTGATAATTCAGGTTTTCGTTATTTCATGTGTACATAGTAGAATATTTAACCTTTTACACTGTATATTCTAATTTGAAACACCTTTGTTTCTCCTTACAAAACCCCACAAGTTTATTGCTTAAATTTCTTCTTGTTTAAATGACGGTTTATTCATTTATTGTATATGATACCAGTCAACAAATCGACCTCTTTTTTCACGATTTCCACTCGCATTACCTTGGTAAAGTTTACATGCGAGCCAATTGCCCCATCAGGTCGGAGCTTATCCCGGTTTCTGTAGCATGAAGTGAATAGGAATATTTCAACTCCCCCCTGGATGGGATGCTAGTCCATCGCAGGGTTACCCCTCAGCATATTTGCCGGGTTTTTTATACACCTGGGTGGAGAGAGGCACTGTGAGAGTAAAGTGTCTTGCCCAAGAACACAACGCGATGTCTCCGACCACGGCTCGAATCCGGACTGCTTGATCCGGAAACGAGCGCACTAACCATGATTTATTTTGCCAGCCGAATTATTATTATTTATTATTGTTTGTTTCCAGGTGAGACGCCTTCATCATCATCCATCAGTAATGCTATGGAGTGGCAACAATGAAAACGAAGCTGCTTTGGCTGAAGACTGGTAAACGAACTCCTCGCTCATTTTTCATTGCCTTATAAATATGAACCATTTCTTCCTTTCTTAGTGACATAGTCAGAGTGCTCAAAGAATGTTGAAAGTCTGCGAAGGAGGTTGCTTATCGTGTTAAAAGTTGAAAGGAAAACCGTGTTGCACAACTGTTCGAGTGTACTTATGTTAGAAGTGTAAAGAATCATACCGGCGTTTCGAGCTTTTAAGTCAACTTGTCTTACTTGCTAAGAAAGAAGAAGCATTATTTTATGTCATGTTCTTTTCAAAAGGGTGGGACAAGCGTTGCCACGTATGTCTTTGTACAAATTATAATTCGTGGATCTTGTCGCTTCAATTTTTTACAGGTACAACACGAGTTCCACGTTTAGTAGGTACGCCAACGACTATGTGAAAGTAAGTCCTCTTCCCTCTTCTTTAAAATGTATTTATGTGCATTATCCGGTTATTATTAGCTCGCATACGGCTAACATTTTAGAGTTTTTACGGGTGTCCGATGTACGGAGGTTTATGTTTGCGTGGCAGGTGTACAAAAGGCAGGGAGAAGGGAAATTTAGGTAGAAGTACGTGCGCTCTTTCCTTACACTTCTATTTTAAGGCTTGGGTTAATACTTCAGAGAAGAGGCTTCTTGAGACTGGTATCTATAAGGAGAGAGGTTATACCCTGTAAGAATTGTTCTGTGAGGGAGGACTTGTTTGATGGGCTGCCCGACTCGTTTAGTTTTACATGGTAATTTCGGTTGTTCCGCTCCCAGTTTTGCTGCTAATGATCATAGTCTATATTTCAATTATTGGAAGCCGTTTCGGGTGTGATAAATTGTTGTCGTCTTCTCTTTGTGCTTAAGCTTTACATTGACACTATCAGAGAGACATTGGAAGAAGAAGACAAAAGCCGACCTTTTCTTTCCTCCTCACCTTCAAACGGAGTAGACACAGAGATGGAGGGGTGGATAGCGAAAACACCAAGCAGTCCTTACTGGGGAGATGGTAAGTATTTTTCAGCGAAGTTAGGATGGATCTAAAAGTAACTTAATGCTGGATAATTATTATCTGAACTTTTGGTTTATTTTAATCTTTTGTTTCATTTTGGTTAATTGCGGGTGCAATGTTCAAACAAAGTTTTTTTTTTTTTAAAAAAAATCAAAATATTTGATTTAATCCTATCGCAACACTCGAAGAATGTGTGAAATGAATTCGCAAACAGTTTTGCTCATTTACAGCTATGAAGAGCGTACATTTCTTTGCAACATCCTGGCCCAAAATGTATCGTAAATTTGCGGTTCCGTACTGAGGATTCTTCAAACCACTACTACAACTGCTCTACCTATCAAGTGCAAATTCAAAACCACATGTAACTTTTCTTCCATGTATGTGTGTTTTCCCACCGTTTACATCACTTGCAAGTTTCATATTGCCTTGAACCCTGATGGGTTCATTGTGTTTTTATAGCGTTTTTTACTTGAGCGTGGAATAGTAATAGGTTTTGCATAACTACGCTGCACGATTGGCTTGAAAAAACTCACGCCACTTTGTCACCCAATCAGAAGTAAAACCAAAAGCAATCGTGACCCGCTCGCTCCCGTTTTCCCGCGCTTTTCCTCGGTTACACGTATTTCAGTTGTGATTGGTTCATTAGATTATCTGTGTCCTTTGTGATTGGCTCGGGTAAGTACTTTGGTTTTAGTTTTTTGACACTTCATTGTAAACCGCGTCATGATTAGAATTGGAAAACCATCCGAAAATGCCAAATAGATAGCTTCCTTTTTTTCCCCGCAGTGCATTTCTATGACTATAAAATGGACTGTTGGAATGTAAGTGGCTACCCCAAGCCTCGCTTTGCGTCCGAGTATGGTTTCCAGTCCTACCCTTCATTTGAAACCCTAGCTGAGGTGTCCGTGGAAGGGGACTGGACCTATGATAGTGCGTTCATGGAACATCGGCAACATCACGGAGACGGTCAGTGTCATGGCTACATGTAACTAGCACGTAACGCCCTTTACTTGAAACGCTGTAACCGCAAGTAACAAAAGGGAAAATGACCAGTTTTTGCTGACTAACGTAGCCTGCAACGATGTGGCATAGAAGGTGCAGATTTTAGGAACTTCGGGAGTAAAGGAGCAAATTTTAGTACAAATGTGGAGATACTGACCAAGGGTTTTTGCGCATTGTATTCCTCGTTTCTTTTCAATCAAAATCTGGACATTCTGGCTGTTGAGTATGTTTCTGAGATTTCAAAAGCTATAATACTTTTAAGTTGTTGCGATAAAAAATGTTTATAGAAACTCGTTTTCAACGCTCTTGACCAACACATACATTTATTTTTATGTGGGGTGGTTGGGTACAGTCGGACAATAATCGGGAACAGTAGGCCAAAACAATAGTTAGCCCGGCTTTCATGAAATAAAATCTGAAATAAAAAAGGTGACCTGCTGGAAGTGATTTCCGCAAGCCGGCTTCTCCGCTCGCTCATTTTGTCATCGCGTGCAAACAAGACTGCCAACTACCTAGGTTGTATCATGAAACAGGGATACGCTCCGGCTCTGAGGACCGCTCCAGTTTATTCTATGATCTGTTTTGCAATGTAGGTAATGAGCAAATGCTGTACCAAGCCCAAAAGCACTTTAAACTGCCCAGCTCGTCGGATCCTTTGAAGAAATTTATGGACACTCTATTTATTACTCAGGTATTGGCAAGTTACCTCTTGTGTCTCTAACACTGACCAAAGAATCTAAAGCAAGTTATCCATTGTTTGAGATTCTCCAGCAAAAAGCTTTTATCTGACGGGTTGGGATAGTCAATCAACACTTTTCTCCATCTTGGAACCTCTTGGCTAAATTTTTTGTGTCCTACTGCACGTTACTCTAGAGGATGTGGAGGAATTTACTTCAGTCACGCGGACAACACATTGTGGAATTAATATCAAGGGATTTAACACTTTTTCCTGCCACAGGTCACTCAAGCTCAGTGTATGAAGACGGAAACTGAACATTACCGGCGTTTACAGAGTGAATTAGTACAGGTAAGGTTTGTTCACTGTTACGTTGTTCAGTTTAGTTATGTAGACAATCTCGAAGGGAGTGGGTTGGAGGGAAGGCTTCACCATCATGGGAGAAGAGCTACTCTACGGGGGCTGGGACCTACAACAACATATTCCTTTGTACACCTTAACTATGCACTTTTAATTTCCAAGCCTGATATCAAAGCAGACAGTGATACCCTCGTGTTATAAGCAGCAAAATACATACTACATTCACAAAGGAAAAGGAAGAAAAAAGGAAATGAAAGGCAAAAATGCATTAACATTGAACTGGAAAACTTTTTGAAAAGATATAGCCCATCCCACACTCAGGACCTCGTGATCAGCCAGTTTAAAGCCGAGATCTTACCTAGATACGCGAATGGGATGTAAATAGAGGTGATAGGTTAGGCAGTTAATTTCTGTTTTTTTGCCTTGGAAGTGAAAAAGATCGCACAATCTGATAAACGCCTAGAAAGCGGAACGAAACTTTTCGGTGTGAATGCGAGAAATAACTTGGTTATCGCGCCCACTGAGCTGGCTCATTCTCATCTGAATTTAGGCACTATTCACACTGATACGGTTGACCAGTCATCCACACTGTAGCGGTAGAGCTAAGTTATTAAATATCTCAATCCCTCCTTGTCTCCAAAAATTTAATTGCAAAACGCATAATTACTTACACTACTTTCAATACAAGCTGCTTACATAATACTTAACTCACAATGCGATACTTGTGTTTCTTACATTCCTTACTTTAAGTTACATTACCTTACCTTACCTTACCTTACCTTACTTACAATGTGGCAACTTATGCTACTAACAATACTATATTCTACTTACGATTCGATACTTACACTACTTGCAGAAAACATTCAACTACGTACGTTACTTACAATACGGGTTAACGATGATAGTAACTCGAAACAGAGAAAAGAAAAAATATAGATATAAATAGAACCGTTGTACTCGCACACACAGCTACATCAGGGAAGCCTAAGGGAAGCAAAAAGAAACCTTGGTGGGGTTGGGAAGGCTAGGGATGTATAGTATATCAACTAAGCTTTTAACTCAAAGGAGAAAAGATTATGTTTTCCCTGCTGATTCACTGAACGTTGAAGCGAGGAAATAGAAAAGAAATATCTGGTTGAAAGGAAAGTGTAAAAAGAGAGACTTTCAACTAGTGTAACCAAAGAGAGAAAGATTCAATTTCTTTCTTATATTGTGTTAAAAACTTTAATAGTTAGAATTTATTTTCTTTGCTTCTACAAAGCCAGATGTAGAATCTTATCGACTTGAATGCATCAATGAAAGCACGAAAGTGTGGACGAGGTATTGACACAATAATTGAGTGTCGAGGCCCAATTCCATGCAGCGGAACTTAGATTATGTTTATAAGGGTCCTCACTCCTTGTTGACTTGTTTCTTTTGGCAGGGGAAAGGAAAAACCATGGGTACAATATACTGGCAGTAAGTGATTATTTTATGTAAACAGTTATTTCTAAAACAGATTAAGAATCCAGAGAATGCTTGTAAGTATTTCGAGCGGTTTTCAATTGATTGTCGTGAAACCAAGCGATGTTTGTTTTAGATCACGGCATCCTGTTTTATTGCACCAAATAATCCATGTGTTGTAGTTACAGAAAATCAAGTCACTTGTGGATATTTCACGGTATACTACGTGCAGTATGTAGTGAACTACCGCTTACATAAGCACACACTACACACCAGGTCTCACGCGGCCCTTAAAACTTCATTATTGCAATATCAACAAGGTTTCCCTGTCTGTTAATTGCTCACTATGCAGTCATGTAAAGTAAGAGTTTTCTCTCCCCTTTGAATCCCAGTCTGCCGTGCTGAACAGCCAAGTTATCCAACACCAACAAATGACCTTTCCTCCATTTAAATCCTACTGCGCATGTCCACGCGGTAGCCAGTATGTGCTGCAGTACTGCAGGCTCAATATCGCCGCCATCCCCATAATAAGTGTGAACAGGTTGTTTGTGATCGGGGATTTCAGTTCCCCCTGGAAGTTGCCGGTAGTACGAGCAATTGTGAGTAGTTACCTGGTTGAACCAGATTTTCTCCCCTGTCTCTGGGTGTTGTATACAGGCGGGTCTGTTATACCAGAAGTGTAAATCCCCGCTGTGATCCCATGTGATTTTGCTGCCTTGCTCTTTTACTCTTTTTTCCACGACCTTTTAAGAGAGGAATGAAAAATTATAGCGACAAATTTCTGATTATCGCGGGTAAATGCACTTGACTTCGGGCTACTATAGGCTAGCTAGTTTTCAGGTATGCTACTTAAGCAGACTGAACAAATATTACAAATAAACCTAATTAACATGGTTAAAAATCCTAACTGACATTAGGTTAAGAGTAGTTAATTCTTTTGACAAATGTTTCCAGTTTTGCAATGAAGGAACAAGCGCCTTTTTTAGCAACTCTTTTTGTCGAAACACCCGACGAGTTCCCATTTCTAATTATCCGATCCAAAAAAAACGCGAGCTCTGAAGAGTACTCTAACAATTGTCACGTGCCAGCAAATGCCATATTCCTGAGAACTTTGGCCAGTGATACAAACTGGGAGCTCATTCAACTTTGAGAGACTGGGATTAAAAGCGTACTTGATTTCCTGACCAATGGACTTTGAACTGGACGCGAAGAGACAAATAAGACCGTTTAGAGAACTCAAGGAACGGTGAAGCTCAAAATTTCTCCAGAGAAAAGCTATAAAAGATCGACACAACATTTAATTTGTGACAATCCTGAATTTGTATAAATTACTATTTTGCCAGCTGGGAGCAGAGGGTTGGGACCGGGTTTGAGGTGCGAGGTGTATATAGCTGCTGTTAGTAGGGTAAGACATTCTACGGCCAGCTTTTTCCGCGTGCACAAGTCAAGTTCGTTTTCTTTTCTTCGTTATGCAATAAAGCAGCTTTTCGTTTTCTTTTCTTTTTTTAGTGCTGTTATATTATTAGATCGTTGTGAGATCCCACATTTCATCAAGTGTTTGTGTACAAGGTGAAGGTGATTTGGACGCTCGCACTTAAAGTTTGATAGCGCGTTCTATAAGCTTTAATTTGATATAGGAGTTTAGGCATGAACAGTTTAAACCGGACGCGCTTTATCGCTTGCACGCGAGACACCTCTGAAGGTATATGTAAACCTTAAATCAGGATGCCCTAAAACCACAAGGGTGGCACCATTGTAGAAAGATAATCTGTGAAGGGCCTGGGTCCTAGGAGATGGGCGTGAAAAGATGTGCCTGCTTACCTCTCTGTCGTCAGTGTTATACACGTGTTGCCAGCTTAGTACTTGTTGTTGGATTTGTTTGGCATATATCTGAAGTAGCGCACTTGTTTCTCTTCAAACTTTCGCACAACTTCGGGGTCCAGCTTGGAGAGGAGTTCGCTGTTTTTAACCAAAATTGTTTCACCGCCACAGCCATCTGCGGGTTCTTTCAGGCAGAAAAAGAAAACCTGTTGGGGAAGAAGAAGTGGTAGCAATTAGTTGAAGGTTTACTTAAAGTTAACTCATTTGCAATCGATATCGCTTCCATTACTAATCCTCCACCTTCTAATGTGTTTAAGTTCTATTAACAAGAGACTATAAATCTCTTACTTTATTGTCCCTTGTACACAAAATAGCTTTCTATTTTGTTGCTCTGGATAGTGTATCGGTCACGACCTCGAGCATTTCACATTCGTGTATTCTACACTTTATCAAACTGCTTGCCTTGGAGGGGTAGACCTCAGTGTATGACAACTCGTTATGTGGGTCGATAGCCAGATCATCTGGGTCATCGTTAGCAGTGTAAGTTCCTGCACTTTTGTCAATTTTTTGTCGGAACGATGCACCACCTTCGTTAGTCATTGCTTTCCAAGGAATTTCTTTAGCAATGGTTGCAAAGTCTTGTGCAGTTTCAGCTGGAAGACCGCGGAACAAAATGGCGGGATGTTGTGCGTGGTTTTCCTCTACGTACTCCATACATTTTGCGGTCAGTTGAGTGAGNAAAAAATCAAAATATTTGATTTAATCCTATCGCAACACTCGAAGAATGTGTGAAATGAATTCGCAAACAGTTTTGCTCATTTACAGCTATGAAGAGCGTACATTTCTTTGCAACATCCTGGCCCAAAATGTATCGTAAATTTGCGGTTCCGTACTGAGGATTCTTCAAACCACTACTACAACTGCTCTACCTATCAAGTGCAAATTCAAAACCACATGTAACTTTTCTTCCATGTATGTGTGTTTTCCCACCGTTTACATCACTTGCAAGTTTCATATTGCCTTGAACCCTGATGGGTTCATTGTGTTTTTATAGCGTTTTTTACTTGAGCGTGGAATAGTAATAGGTTTTGCATAACTACGCTGCACGATTGGCTTGAAAAAACTCACGCCACTTTGTCACCCAATCAGAAGTAAAACCAAAAGCAATCGTGACCCGCTCGCTCCCGTTTTCCCGCGCTTTTCCTCGGTTACACGTATTTCAGTTGTGATTGGTTCATTAGATTATCTGTGTCCTTTGTGATTGGCTCGGGTAAGTACTTTGGTTTTAGTTTTTTGACACTTCATTGTAAACCGCGTCATGATTAGAATTGGAAAACCATCCGAAAATGCCAAATAGATAGCTTCCTTTTTTTCCCCGCAGTGCATTTCTATGACTATAAAATGGACTGTTGGAATGTAAGTGGCTACCCCAAGCCTCGCTTTGCGTCCGAGTATGGTTTCCAGTCCTACCCTTCATTTGAAACCCTAGCTGAGGTGTCCGTGGAAGGGGACTGGACCTATGATAGTGCGTTCATGGAACATCGGCAACATCACGGAGACGGTCAGTGTCATGGCTACATGTAACTAGCACGTAACGCCCTTTACTTGAAACGCTGTAACCGCAAGTAACAAAAGGGAAAATGACCAGTTTTTGCTGACTAACGTAGCCTGCAACGATGTGGCATAGAAGGTGCAGATTTTAGGAACTTCGGGAGTAAAGGAGCAAATTTTAGTACAAATGTGGAGATACTGACCAAGGGTTTTTGCGCATTGTATTCCTCGTTTCTTTTCAATCAAAATCTGGACATTCTGGCTGTTGAGTATGTTTCTGAGATTTCAAAAGCTATAATACTTTTAAGTTGTTGCGATAAAAAATGTTTATAGAAACTCGTTTTCAACGCTCTTGACCAACACATACATTTATTTTTATGTGGGGTGGTTGGGTACAGTCGGACAATAATCGGGAACAGTAGGCCAAAACAATAGTTAGCCCGGCTTTCATGAAATAAAATCTGAAATAAAAAAGGTGACCTGCTGGAAGTGATTTCCGCAAGCCGGCTTCTCCGCTCGCTCATTTTGTCATCGCGTGCAAACAAGACTGCCAACTACCTAGGTTGTATCATGAAACAGGGATACGCTCCGGCTCTGAGGACCGCTCCAGTTTATTCTATGATCTGTTTTGCAATGTAGGTAATGAGCAAATGCTGTACCAAGCCCAAAAGCACTTTAAACTGCCCAGCTCGTCGGATCCTTTGAAGAAATTTATGGACACTCTATTTATTACTCAGGTATTGGCAAGTTACCTCTTGTGTCTCTAACACTGACCAAAGAATCTAAAGCAAGTTATCCATTGTTTGAGATTCTCCAGCAAAAAGCTTTTATCTGACGGGTTGGGATAGTCAATCAACACTTTTCTCCATCTTGGAACCTCTTGGCTAAATTTTTTGTGTCCTACTGCACGTTACTCTAGAGGATGTGGAGGAATTTACTTCAGTCACGCGGACAACACATTGTGGAATTAATATCAAGGGATTTAACACTTTTTCCTGCCACAGGTCACTCAAGCTCAGTGTATGAAGACGGAAACTGAACATTACCGGCGTTTACAGAGTGAATTAGTACAGGTAAGGTTTGTTCACTGTTACGTTGTTCAGTTTAGTTATGTAGACAATCTCGAAGGGAGTGGGTTGGAGGGAAGGCTTCACCATCATGGGAGAAGAGCTACTCTACGGGGGCTGGGACCTACAACAACATATTCCTTTGTACACCTTAACTATGCACTTTTAATTTCCAAGCCTGATATCAAAGCAGACAGTGATACCCTCGTGTTATAAGCAGCAAAATACATACTACATTCACAAAGGAAAAGGAAGAAAAAAGGAAATGAAAGGCAAAAATGCATTAACATTGAACTGGAAAACTTTTTGAAAAGATATAGCCCATCCCACACTCAGGACCTCGTGATCAGCCAGTTTAAAGCCGAGATCTTACCTAGATACGCGAATGGGATGTAAATAGAGGTGATAGGTTAGGCAGTTAATTTCTGTTTTTTTGCCTTGGAAGTGAAAAAGATCGCACAATCTGATAAACGCCTAGAAAGCGGAACGAAACTTTTCGGTGTGAATGCGAGAAATAACTTGGTTATCGCGCCCACTGAGCTGGCTCATTCTCATCTGAATTTAGGCACTATTCACACTGATACGGTTGACCAGTCATCCACACTGTAGCGGTAGAGCTAAGTTATTAAATATCTCAATCCCTCCTTGTCTCCAAAAATTTAATTGCAAAACGCATAATTACTTACACTACTTTCAATACAAGCTGCTTACATAATACTTAACTCACAATGCGATACTTGTGTTTCTTACATTCCTTACTTTAAGTTACATTACCTTACCTTACCTTACCTTACCTTACTTACAATGTGGCAACTTATGCTACTAACAATACTATATTCTACTTACGATTCGATACTTACACTACTTGCAGAAAACATTCAACTACGTACGTTACTTACAATACGGGTTAACGATGATAGTAACTCGAAACAGAGAAAAGAAAAAATATAGATATAAATAGAACCGTTGTACTCGCACACACAGCTACATCAGGGAAGCCTAAGGGAAGCAAAAAGAAACCTTGGTGGGGTTGGGAAGGCTAGGGATGTATAGTATATCAACTAAGCTTTTAACTCAAAGGAGAAAAGATTATGTTTTCCCTGCTGATTCACTGAACGTTGAAGCGAGGAAATAGAAAAGAAATATCTGGTTGAAAGGAAAGTGTAAAAAGAGAGACTTTCAACTAGTGTAACCAAAGAGAGAAAGATTCAATTTCTTTCTTATATTGTGTTAAAAACTTTAATAGTTAGAATTTATTTTCTTTGCTTCTACAAAGCCAGATGTAGAATCTTATCGACTTGAATGCATCAATGAAAGCACGAAAGTGTGGACGAGGTATTGACACAATAATTGAGTGTCGAGGCCCAATTCCATGCAGCGGAACTTAGATTATGTTTATAAGGGTCCTCACTCCTTGTTGACTTGTTTCTTTTGGCAGGGGAAAGGAAAAACCATGGGTACAATATACTGGCAGTAAGTGATTATTTTATGTAAACAGTTATTTCTAAAACAGATTAAGAATCCAGAGAATGCTTGTAAGTATTTCGAGCGGTTTTCAATTGATTGTCGTGAAACCAAGCGATGTTTGTTTTAGATCACGGCATCCTGTTTTATTGCACCAAATAATCCATGTGTTGTAGTTACAGAAAATCAAGTCACTTGTGGATATTTCACGGTATACTACGTGCAGTATGTAGTGAACTACCGCTTACATAAGCACACACTACACACCAGGTCTCACGCGGCCCTTAAAACTTCATTATTGCAATATCAACAAGGTTTCCCTGTCTGTTAATTGCTCACTATGCAGTCATGTAAAGTAAGAGTTTTCTCTCCCCTTTGAATCCCAGTCTGCCGTGCTGAACAGCCAAGTTATCCAACACCAACAAATGACCTTTCCTCCATTTAAATCCTACTGCGCATGTCCACGCGGTAGCCAGTATGTGCTGCAGTACTGCAGGCTCAATATCGCCGCCATCCCCATAATAAGTGTGAACAGGTTGTTTGTGATCGGGGATTTCAGTTCCCCCTGGAAGTTGCCGGTAGTACGAGCAATTGTGAGTAGTTACCTGGTTGAACCAGATTTTCTCCCCTGTCTCTGGGTGTTGTATACAGGCGGGTCTGTTATACCAGAAGTGTAAATCCCCGCTGTGATCCCATGTGATTTTGCTGCCTTGCTCTTTTACTCTTTTTTCCACGACCTTTTAAGAGAGGAATGAAAAATTATAGCGACAAATTTCTGATTATCGCGGGTAAATGCACTTGACTTCGGGCTACTATAGGCTAGCTAGTTTTCAGGTATGCTACTTAAGCAGACTGAACAAATATTACAAATAAACCTAATTAACATGGTTAAAAATCCTAACTGACATTAGGTTAAGAGTAGTTAATTCTTTTGACAAATGTTTCCAGTTTTGCAATGAAGGAACAAGCGCCTTTTTTAGCAACTCTTTTTGTCGAAACACCCGACGAGTTCCCATTTCTAATTATCCGATCCAAAAAAAACGCGAGCTCTGAAGAGTACTCTAACAATTGTCACGTGCCAGCAAATGCCATATTCCTGAGAACTTTGGCCAGTGATACAAACTGGGAGCTCATTCAACTTTGAGAGACTGGGATTAAAAGCGTACTTGATTTCCTGACCAATGGACTTTGAACTGGACGCGAAGAGACAAATAAGACCGTTTAGAGAACTCAAGGAACGGTGAAGCTCAAAATTTCTCCAGAGAAAAGCTATAAAAGATCGACACAACATTTAATTTGTGACAATCCTGAATTTGTATAAATTACTATTTTGCCAGCTGGGAGCAGAGGGTTGGGACCGGGTTTGAGGTGCGAGGTGTATATAGCTGCTGTTAGTAGGGTAAGACATTCTACGGCCAGCTTTTTCCGCGTGCACAAGTCAAGTTCGTTTTCTTTTCTTCGTTATGCAATAAAGCAGCTTTTCGTTTTCTTTTCTTTTTTTAGTGCTGTTATATTATTAGATCGTTGTGAGATCCCACATTTCATCAAGTGTTTGTGTACAAGGTGAAGGTGATTTGGACGCTCGCACTTAAAGTTTGATAGCGCGTTCTATAAGCTTTAATTTGATATAGGAGTTTAGGCATGAACAGTTTAAACCGGACGCGCTTTATCGCTTGCACGCGAGACACCTCTGAAGGTATATGTAAACCTTAAATCAGGATGCCCTAAAACCACAAGGGTGGCACCATTGTAGAAAGATAATCTGTGAAGGGCCTGGGTCCTAGGAGATGGGCGTGAAAAGATGTGCCTGCTTACCTCTCTGTCGTCAGTGTTATACACGTGTTGCCAGCTTAGTACTTGTTGTTGGATTTGTTTGGCATATATCTGAAGTAGCGCACTTGTTTCTCTTCAAACTTTCGCACAACTTCGGGGTCCAGCTTGGAGAGGAGTTCGCTGTTTTTAACCAAAATTGTTTCACCGCCACAGCCATCTGCGGGTTCTTTCAGGCAGAAAAAGAAAACCTGTTGGGGAAGAAGAAGTGGTAGCAATTAGTTGAAGGTTTACTTAAAGTTAACTCATTTGCAATCGATATCGCTTCCATTACTAATCCTCCACCTTCTAATGTGTTTAAGTTCTATTAACAAGAGACTATAAATCTCTTACTTTATTGTCCCTTGTACACAAAATAGCTTTCTATTTTGTTGCTCTGGATAGTGTATCGGTCACGACCTCGAGCATTTCACATTCGTGTATTCTACACTTTATCAAACTGCTTGCCTTGGAGGGGTAGACCTCAGTGTATGACAACTCGTTATGTGGGTCGATAGCCAGATCATCTGGGTCATCGTTAGCAGTGTAAGTTCCTGCACTTTTGTCAATTTTTTGTCGGAACGATGCACCACCTTCGTTAGTCATTGCTTTCCAAGGAATTTCTTTAGCAATGGTTGCAAAGTCTTGTGCAGTTTCAGCTGGAAGACCGCGGAACAAAATGGCGGGATGTTGTGCGTGGTTTTCCTCTACGTACTCCATACATTTTGCGGTCAGTTGAGTGAGGGAGGACTGGTGCGGATTAATAACTCGCACGCCATGTGGGAATGACTCTCTTGGTTCTCCCAGGAATTCTGGGAAACCTTCACCCGTTGAACCAACAGTGAACGGCCTGTCCTTGAGCCTCGACTTGAATTTAGTGACCAGTTCTTCCCTGGGTAGTGCCTGAAAAATTATCTTTGTTGTTGGATCTTCCTGACTTTTCTGGGCTGAATAACTGCAAATAATATTTTTGACATGGGCCTTTCTGGTTGCGGGAATACTGCACCTAGGAAGTCTCGAGAAAGACGCGCGAAGCCGCAGAAGTCGAGCTGCCATATTCTGTTAAGGGAGATAAATGATATAGGAATTACGTTTAAAGCGCAACCATTCATATTTTGAATTAGCCTGATTCCATGAAAATTTACTGTTATTGTTCTACCTTATCTAATAATCTTCCAATTATGTGGCCGCATTTGCATTACGGCCCCGCCCAAAGTTTTTTCATGTAGAACCGCAATTACAGCTCAATCCCTATTAAGCGGCTACCCTCGGGGAAATGGATAGTGGCCGCTCAAAAGGGGTTGGCCGCTTAATAGAGGTGAAAACAATAGCATAGCCCTCATCGGGACTTTGATTACTGCCCGCCTCATAGGGGGTGGCCGTTTAACCGGTGACCGCTTCGACTGTATATGGCGGGCAGGCAAGATGAACCAAATCGTGTGCTGTGATTGGCTACCCAAGCGGCCAAGATGTCGCTCTCTTGCCCGCTCAGGACTACCCGCTGTGCTCCGCAAAAAAAAAAAAAAAAAAAACACACTCCCCAAAGGCCATATAATAAATCATTTGCTGACCGGGCTCGTGCGGTCAAGATGGCCAGATATTGGCCTTGTTCATTTCTTGCGAGTTTATGGACCTCGACTCCGTCTCGGTCCATAGACATGCAAAATAAGGACTTGGCAAATATCCTACCTTCTTGACCTGATGTTCCGTCAATAACCCATATCTATTAGCGAAAAAAGGAAAGAAAAACAACACGAGGCTGCAAAACGCGCTTTGCTTCACTCCTGAACTCTTTAACCTTGGTACCTTTTTTGTGCGTATTTGTATCTACTCTTGTAGTGTTTGGCAAATGGTCAAAAAAGGAGATTCTGCGGTTAAAATGGCTAGCAGTTAAGGACATTCGCGGCCAAAATGTTCCTACGTACATATTTGTTATAAACTTGCCAGCCAGCAAGACATATAAACTTTTGCCAAAACGCAAAACAAATGGGGGTCACCGCGCTCTTTTCCGATACAATGCGCATTGAAGACACTGCCGTTTTTGAAAACTTTCGTTACTTTCACGTACAAATTTTCACTGTTTTTTGTTAAATGAAGAAAATCAATAAAGGGAGGCGCGCTCCATGAAAAGAAAAGATGGGGTCGCCGACCATTTAAGAGAGTAAAATGTAGGTGAAGTTAACGGAACTGCTCATGACGAAGGTGAGTAACAATGACCTACAATGATAATCTTTTTAATACTCTAATCACCCTGAAACGATGATAAAATATTTGTAACTAATCTCATAAACACAAACACAACATCAGGAGCGGGCATCTAGTGTTTTTTTTGATACAGGATACAGCGAACGTTACATCGTCATGAAGAAAATACTGCAGTGAATAACAAATAAAAAATAAATAAATAAAAAGCAAATTTGAAAGAGATGCCTTCGAGTGGCTCTTGCATAACTTACAGAATCTTCAATAGCCTACTATCTCCTTTGGATTCAGGCCTAAAAGACCTCTACAGTTAACACGAATCATACGTGATGAACAGACTCCAGTGTAATTAGCAAACCGTTACGAAATATATTTTCTGCTCAGGAGAGTATTTATTGACAGCCTTCATATACATGAGAAGCCTACCATATTTTGCCCCCCTCTTTCAAAGTGTGTTATTAGTCCAAGATACATATTGTGGATAAATATGTATTTTTTATCAAAATATTTTTATTGCTTGTATTATTTAAGTTAATTTTATTGTTTCCATTTGTTTAGCACGCACATGTTTTAATGAGTTTTTATTATTCCTAAATGTTGCGTTGGTATATAAAGGATTGTATTGTATTGATTGTATTGTGGTCTTTCTCTAAACTTTTGAGCCTGAGATATCTTGCTGAAATGCTCCCGAGTGCCGTTGTTCCATTCGTAAATCTCAAAGAAGTAGCCCATGGAGTGGTTTGTTTGTCTGAGTCACACCGGAGGTTAAATTTGCGACGCTATTCAGCCTCACTTCATTAATAACTTTATCATCTTCTACTTAAAGCTGGGAAGATTGCTAAACCAGGGATAGATACTGGAAATTTTATTGGTAGTTTTCTATTCCAGAGAGGCATCAACCGTTGAGGCGAACATGGCAAGTGCTTTTGGTGTGTCTTGTTATGTGTCCCAGTATTTATAGAGCGTAGGACAGTATGCTTGCGTGCGTGGAACTGAAAACTTAGCGTTATAGTATGTGTTGTCTTTACAACAAAGGGGATGCATAATTAACCGCTTGAGGAGTTGGCACGGAATCGGTTGTTTGGTCGAATAATCCGCCAAGGGCTTCACAAGCCAAAGTGCGAGTGGTTTGCTTTTTCTATTTTTTTTATGACTTCTTACTGTTTATGAGTTTTATGACTGCTTGTTTAGCGGTTGATAGCCGTTAGCAGAAATAAAGGATCACTGCAATGCTTTGGTTCGTCAGAAAATGCGAAAAAAATGTTCAAATGTTGTTTTTTTAAAGTGGTCAATGCGCTTAGCTACGTATATATACACCACTTAAACTGAAAGAAACAAGTATATCAACTTATCATAATAGGCAGACCAGTCATGACCGAGGAGGTGAACCAGGGTCTACCACGAAACAACTCCAGCTAAGGGTTCAGAACGGGACTTCAACCCGCGACCTCCGGATTTCAAGTTCAGCGCCCGAACCACTCGGCCTCGCTTCCTTCGTTTTCACTTCAGGAAAAAACTCTTTACCCTTTACTTGAAGCTGGGAAAGCTCGGTGAACCAGTAATACATACTGGCAAAGAATAGGACTTTGACGGAGCTTCGTAAATTGCGTAAAGTGATTTATGCAACAGTGATGCGATCGATAACTGCTGGTTGTTCTGGTGCCATCACTGTGTACTTAACTATTTGTTACAAACAAGTCGAGAAACATCGGAGGCAGCAATTGATTATGAACCAATCAGGTTCGTCGCGAGGCATGCCCGAACATGAGCAAAGCAAACTGTAAAACATGCCGAGAGACTTTTTCCTTTGGCTCACACCAAAAGCAAGGAGACTTCAGATGGCCTTTCGGAAACGAGCGTATTCCAAGAACCTAATACGAATATATGCTAAATTTGGTGAAGCACATATTTTGCCGTTTCAGTGAAAAGACCAGATGAGCTACACAAGCATACTCGGGTAGAATCGAAAGGAAACTTACCTTTCGTATCGGAGTCACCGAGATTGGGGTCAGACTGTTTGCGGGCGTACAAACATATGCGAAAGGATATGCATATCCGCTATGTCATTGAATGAATGATGCTCTGCAACTATTGGGTGAAGATTCAGTGTTATGATAAACACTAATTAGCAATTAGATTATGAGCTCGAGATTTCTATGAGGTGATGGTTGATGAGGCCGAAGGCCGAATCAACTATCACCTCTTAGAAATCGAGAGCGAATAATCTAATTGTTTCAGTAGAATTCTAACTGAAATAAACGCAAATAATGGTTTCTAATTATCTTTCTACGCATTATTAAACTTTACGCTTTGACAAAATCGCACGCATTGAATTGTCCGTGGTAAATTTGTTGTTGTTTACGCGCGCTCACCCGTTTTTTCAATAATTTCACGTTTTTAAAGTCAAGAAACCACTAATGTGTTGCTTTTAGTCTTCTCAAGAATTTAATTATCCATTTACATCTAAACTTTCTTCCAAACTTCGGAAAAACGATAAAAACTTCGCATTTTGTGAACGGTCGACAGTCACTGCACTCTAATGGCTGATAGTATACGAGTAGCTCAGCCAATCAGATTGCAGCATTTGCATTAGTACACTAGTAAAATTCTACTAATAATAGAAAGAACTTAGCGACCATTTCAAGTGGAAGGTAATTAAATGTTATCACGGGTTCGGTGATTTTCAAAGAAATATCCGTTTAGCTTCAAAAAACGTTGACTAAGGTTTTGTACTTGTTAAAGAAAGCCGCCTTTCTTTTGTGTGTTGTGGACTGTAAAGCGCCAATTCATGATTACTGATCCCTCGCGGGTATTCTACACGTCGAAGACATATGTTCTCTCAAAAACAAACGGAAAAAGGCGGATAAGAATTTTTTTCATGTTTCAAGAACATCAGTTATGAGGAAAGAGAAAAAAGGAAAACTCTTACAGTGGAAGAAAATACCGTCATATGAACAGATGAAAAGAGTTGAAAGTTTGAGGAGTAGTTTTCTATACTAGAGAGTTTTCTAACCATAAGGGCGGATTTTTGTGCAATAGATGGCCAAAGAGAGCGCTTGTAGTAATCACATTATGCAGACGCAGGGGTGTTGGGAAGTCTGGATAAAACTTTAAAATACCGGGACTCAGATCTGATTCCCTGAGGTGGGTGAGGACAGAAGTTCAAAAATGCGTTTTTTCGTCGACCTTTCGCCGACTTTCGGAAGAAAATGTACACTTTATTCAAGAGTGCCTTTTACCAAAGGGAAAATGCACCAGTAAAGGGCGAGGCCCGGGCTCCCTAGTGCCCCCCTCTCTTGCTAAGCTCCTGCTATCTGCTTCCGTGCGTCACACTGAAAGCTTAGTGTGATAGTATGTGCCGTCTTTACACCACCGGACACCCATAGGCTTGAAGAGTTGGCGCGGAATCGGTTGTTTAGCAGCCTGTAGTGTCTCACATCTCCTGAGTCCTGCCCTCAACCTAATCCCCGGGCGATTAGGCTGAGGGCGGGAGATGATTGACATTTCAGGCTAGTTGTTTGGTCGACTAAAGCGCTTAAGGTTTCACAAGCCCGTTGCTCTTTCTGGTTTTAAGACGTCTAATTGTTTGGGTGAGATTTATGACTGCTCCTCAGTGCGGTTTGAACACTTTCTTTACTGTAGTTGTCGCAGAAGTATTAAACATTCTGTTCTCGTTAGGTTCAGTAAATTCAGATCTCAAGGCGTTAACTCGAGCACATAACATGGTAATCCCTTTTTTGATCTATAAATGTTTACTTTTACACCATAAGGTTGTCTGTGCTTTCACATCGATCTACTAAACTGGATGTTATCACAACGTGACAGCTGGTGTAAATCGCATGCGTAGATGGGCGGAAGTCATTTGCAGTACTTGCTCACTTGTAACCCTCTTTGTTGACATTTTCTAGGTTGAACAGTATCTGGCAGGCTCCCACGTGGTCCTCATTGGAATATGGAGGCCGATGGAAGGTAAAACAGGCTTCTTTTGACTGCTAGGTTTGATTTGGGGCAGGGTCTCAGCTTCTTTTGTCTGTGATTGCAGTTTAAAATATTCGTTTATGTGTACAAGACCATATGCCTGTAAATTTTCAACTCAGTTGTTTGTTAAGTGTATTAAAATTCGTGAAATTCAGGGAATTGCCCGGTGCTGCGGAGGCTATTTAAGTTTAAGTTTATTGCTACTGTTGGACATCTATTACCATGGAACCTTATGTATGTGATTTGAGTATAGCTTTTTGCTTTTTGAATCCTTTTGCTTACGTCATATGATGGACGCACCATTCGTAGCTTACAACGCTACATTCTTTGAATATCGTAGGCTTAGAGGTAGCGTCTAGAACAGACGGTTTTGCGGGACAGAAAGCGAGCGCAAAGCGCCAGAAAGAAACGATTAAAAGTAACTAAAAGTTTAATTTTGGTCTTGCGTTTCGCGCCCATCTATCGCGCCTCGTCCTTTGCTCCGCTAAACTGTTTGATCTGCTTGTTAAGTAGGAGGGAAAATTAGTGTACACATTGTGGGGTTTTACTCTTAAGTGTTTCTTGTGTTTCTTCTAGATGCTTCATTACTTTGTGAAGGATTTTTTTGCTCCAGTGATGGCCTCATCTTATCAGGAGGGCGGCAAATTTAAGCTTTATGTTGTGTCCGATCTAATGAAGGTAATAGCTCTTGCGTGGGCCGCATGACTTGCTTAGCATTTGCATATTACACACACAGTTTCTTTGTTTCCCATTCAGTCGCTGTTAGTATGGAAACAGACGTGTTTCTGTTCTCTGCTTGAGCCATAACAATGTGAGAACAATAACCAACACATGTACGTGGTTAATGGCGAACCAGTTTGTTTTGGCTAATTTTAATTATCGGCCCTCAGATTTGTCCCAACTATGTAATAAAGGAGCTTATTACACGACAACTACAGCTGAGAGGACCGATAACTAAATCAACCAATTAGAGTGTTTACCGGTCCAATATTTTAATTACTGGACTTGGTAACATTTTCAAAGCACTTGTTCAAACATTTGAAGTCGTGATCTGTTATTAATATAACCACTCTTGCCGGGTACATGCTGGGAAGAATATAAACCTTGGGTCTTTTCTGTACGGGCCTCGCAGCCCTCGATCCGTGTTGTCAAGACCTGGGCTCGACGTTCTCCCAGTAAGATCGATGGTCTTGGTTAAGAGTAAATATCAGTATAAATTCGCCCTCTTCTGAACGTTTATTCTCATAATAGTGTTAATTACGTGGTATTCAATATGCACCCTTGCTCAACTAATGACTTACTTTCTGTTGGCCCAGTCTTCAATGGACGCCCGACAAAGTGCCTCGAAGTTGAGTGGAAAGCCTAGCTAAATCGCTTTTTTTCCCTTTCTTTTTGTTTCAGCCAATCACGCATGGTGCAGTGTCTCTCAACGCGTGGGCATGGTCTTCATTCACACCGTTGTACACCAGAAACATACCATTTCACATTGATCCACAGTCCTCGGTAAGTCAGTCAGATAGCTTCTTTTTTATCGCTGCTTTTCACGAAATTCTCCTGTCAGTTTGATAATAATATTCCTTTCGTTGTTTTTCATAGAAACGTGTGTACGCGGATGAAGTAAAAGATTTTCTGCACGCCAGCAAATGTGAAAGTGCGCAGCATTGTGTATTTACCATGAAACCTTTGAACCTTAGTAGTGGAAAAGACCTGGGACCAATAAACGTCTTTTACCCTTCCAACTTATCGGAAGCAGTGGGTTTAAAAGATCCTCGATTGAAGGTGAAAAACGTTTTGAGGGTCGGTGCTTTATAAATTATTTTAGGATATAGCAAAAGTGAGAAAGAGATTCTAGGAATTCGATGAAGACTCCAAGTTCCTCGTACCAACAGGAGATTTGATTAAGAAGCTAGTTAGTATTTTATCAGTTCATGGAACTGTGTAGAGAGTCATTTTCTGCTATGTCGCAAAATTATACGTAAATCGAAGCCTTGGGTGCGGCGACTTCGCCCGCAGTACGAACGGCAATAAGAACCGAACTGCCCTACCGAAACGAAACGACAGTAGTATTTTCCTTCGCAGCCAACAAAAATAAAGACAGTGGTAAAGTTTCTTTGGCCTCTTATAATACGTACTTTACTCGAGAATTCTGGGCTCAACTTGACGAGGAACAACACATTTTGTTCAAAAGAACACTTAATGAACTGCGAGTGAGGATCAGTGAGTTACCAGACCCGGCCAACCGATCCATTTTTTGGCTCCAAATTAAAAGCTTGAGGCATAAAATGTTTCGTATTTATTACTTTAAGACGAAATCCGATAGAAAATCGGGCAATTTCAGGTTTTAGTGGACAGAAATCTGGTACCAGAATAATTTTAAGTATTTTACAGTCATTTTTACATTTTCTTTAAGTGCCTATCAAGTAAAAAATAATTGCTGCTTATTTGAAAGGTTTTTCAAAGTAAAGAAGAATGGCGTTTTCCTTTCTGGAATATCTTTTTTCGTTTGAGAGATATTTACGTTTTTGTAAGGAAAGTGATGACGTCATAGCAGGGCTCGAAAAAACCCCCGTCCGGTCGTCCGGGACAAGTAGATTTTCCCTTCGGGCAAGTAACTTTCTCTGCTTACTTGCACCACGGGCAAGGACCCAGGCAAGCTGTTCGCCGACTAAATTTTTGATAACGATTTTGAGAAGAATAGGTAAATTTTAGGCTCAAGTGTAATCAAGTGTTTAGATGAAGCTTGATGAAAATTACAATTTACAGCGTTGTCTTGTTGATTGCGTGACGCGTGCTCACGGCTCAGAAGTAATTGCCTAGCATGTGATCAAAATCTACCGCGATCAAATTTCTTTCCAGGATAAAAATAGCCGCGTTGGGCACGAAAACGCTGTGTTTATTTCTTAAAATTTTGGCAATTTTCTGCGAACATTTTCCAGTTTCTCTGTACAAACTTAACTCAACAACGGTATATTAAAGCTGTAGAAATTGTCCGCGAAAAGAAGCCGTACATTTCAACCGTGAAAACGAAGTCAGCATTTTTGATGCTAAAATTCAGGTAAATCTCTGTTTTTGGCAAAACATGCAAGTTTGCTAGTGATAACATACTTGGGCGCTGCCTCGCGAAATGAAAAGTATTGTTATTGTTAAAAAGAAATGGAGAAGTAAGTCATCAAAATACTTTCAGAGTTCCTGGAAGATGACTTAAAATAGTGTTTCTTTCAGACAAAGATGTTTTCCCTCGACTGAAACTATTTTTCATTCACCGAAATGAAAAAAATATGCTCTTGCCGGATTTTCAAACTCGACTCTGTGCCTGTGTCAAAACTGAAGTGGGAAGGTCACTTGCTGTTAATTGTGTGTGTTATAAATTTCTCGCACTTCTCATCACAATGATTTCGTGGAGCTAGAGAAGATGCAGGTGAACATTCAAGCAGTCGAACACGATCTTCGACGAATTGAACAAATTGATTCAAGGCTGTATAACAATGAAGATACCCAGCGTGTAATACAGGAACTAGAAAGTAAGTAAGTAAGTAAGTAAGTACACGAACGAAAAACAACAACTTCGCAAACTTTGTTTCTTCAACTGGGAGGCACTGGCAAAAGATGCTGTGGGACAAATTTAATTCCTGATGACATTTTTTTTATCACGTTAGAAAATTCCAGGGAAAGTTGAATTTGAGGCCATAAAAACATCTGGTGATGGTAACTGCCTCTATTGCTCTGCCTCCCTTATACTTGTTGGGAACAAAGATCTCTCATTTTTCTTCAAGGTTGTAGAGAATTATTGAACAAAAACATTAGGGTGCCATAAGGCATATGAAAGCAGTCAGTTAAAAAAGATCAGTGACATTGTATTGGGAAAGCTGATAATCGTGATAGTATCTGACAATGTAGGGTACAAACTACTTCAATGTCATTATAACTGTGTTCATCCAATGTTAATCATTACAAACCATACAACTTCTTAAAAGCAGAATGAAGAAGTTATAAGTTGTGGAAGTATTACAATATAATGGTGTAAACATGAAAGTGATCAGCACTAAGAGGACTACAGTCAAGATGGGTTTATTACATTAAAACACGTCTGNAGCAGAATGAAGAAGTTATAAGTTGTGGAAGTATTACAATATAATGGTGTAAACATGAAAGTGATCAGCACTAAGAGGACTACAGTCAAGATGGGTTTATTACATTAAAACACGTCTGTAACTTTTGACTTCCATTTTTGGGTTCATGAATTATTAATGAGTTTGAAAACTTGGGCAAGTGGGGATGTTCCCTGGGCAAGCAAAATTTGAGAGTTACTTGCCCAACAGGCAGGGTGGAATTCAAATATTTACATCATAAAAGAATCGTAATGACACCCGTCGTGCCATTGCCATGACAACAGTTATGCCGCTGGTTCTGTTTTAATTAAGACTAAAATTCCCAGATTTTACCTTACAAAGGATCATCCCCTCCCAATAGTCTAATGGGGAGAGTTAAGACAACATGGAAACCATGTGTGTTCCGAGTAAGACCCCCTGTCCCACTTTAAAAGGTTGCAAATGGAGATATTTGGTTTTTCACAGAAAGAGACTGGAGCCAAGAGTGTTGCCATGGCAACAACATGGCAGGTGTCATTCTGTTTCTTTTGTGATGTACATTGCTGGTGTCAAGTTTGAAGAACACTGCTTTAATATTTCTAGAGTTATTCTCGATTTGAGTGTTAAGCTGTGTTAGAGGAACCACCTGTGACGTCATCACTTTTGTCATTTGCATAATACAAAAACGTGAATATCTCTAAAACGAAAAAAGATATTCCAAAACGGAAAACGCCATTCTTCTCTACTTTGAAAAGCCTTTCAAATAAGCAGGAATTATTTTTTACTTCTGTAGTGTATTGAGCCAGCGGTTGACATTATGAGCATGCGCACTTATGCACATTCTGTTCCATGTGCTTCGATCGAAATAAACCAAATACATGACAACTTCCTAGGCACTTTAAAGCTAAATACACAAATCATTGCCTGAAATAACACCGAAAACAATTTCCCATGGGAAGGAGAGAAAATAAATTGCAAGGTTCAGAGAACTTGTGCAAACACAGGCAAAATTTCGTCATCAGTTTCATTTCACCAGTACTTTCAAGTGTTTCATATCAAGTTCAACGTTTTCAACGTTTGGGGTTGCTAGAAATGATTTTTTTAATAAGATATTTAAAACAGTCGTACAGAAGTTTGCAATACGATGTAAATAATCTTGGTACTAGGTTTTTGTCCACTTGTTACTCGAACTTCTGGTGGATTCCGTCTTAAAATCTGATATGGTTTTTGGAATTATAAATCCCTTTTCGTGAATATTCAATGCCCTCCTCAGTGAGAAAAGTTGTCACACCTACTGTAATGCCTTTCCTGTTACATGTAACATACATTGACGTCAGGGCAGTACAGGTTTTCTCGCCTACCGGATCTTAATTGGTCAATTCAAATTTCAGCCGCGCCAGCTGTATGCAAGGCGAGGCTAAATAAAGCTGAAGTCCCATAATGCTGAGGTGGTATAGGAGTATGTTCCACGCAGATGATATGCTAGTCCATTCACAGGCTAAGTCCAAACATTTGCTCAAGTTACTGTATCAGGTCGCTGATATCCATTCATACTCCTAAGTGGAGAGAGGCTCCGCTGTAAATTAAGTTTCCCTGCGAGCGCTCAGACCCAGACCGCTCCATCAGGAGTTCACTGCACCAACCAACATGTGGGCTGGAAATCACGAATTAAGCACGAGTGTTCACTTGTGAACTGGCAAATTGCAACCGTTTCTTGGCAACATTGGTTGATATCACGTGACTATGGTCTCTTTATTTTTTTAGATTGCCAAAGTTGCCCGGATGTCCAAGGCAGGAGAGTTCAGCGTGTCTGTTGAGGCACAGTCTCCCGCTTGTTTCGTGTGGCTGGTGGCCAAAGATGTCCGAGGCCGCTTCTCGGAAAATGGATTCCTATTAACAGAACCTTCTAAGACAGTATGTAGTTATTTCACCCTTCGAAATAGGAGCGTCTGACAAATACATAAGTTCTTCCATTCTGAGTGCTACGAGTCGCTGTTAGACGTCAGTTTTATGTTCGATGACATGTATGTTAAGTTCCTAGCTCTTATTTTCATACGCAAGTTAATTTGAAGCACTTGAGTGGAAAAAAAGTTGATAAAGTTATCGTCTCTGATATGAGGGATGTGCACATATAAAAATTACCAATTAGATTATGAACTCGAAATTTATATCGCGTGTTATATCATTAAACCTTCCAACTCAAAAAGGTTTTCCATAGAAGGAGGAGAACGTGTCATGGGTCATGGGTCATGAGTCAAAACTCACTAACTCCCAAGGGAAACAAGAACTTGAGCTTTCGACTCACACGTGATCAGGTCGTGCACCTATAAACGGTGGAAAAGTGGCAGCCAGTGTTAAGCAAATGATGTTTTTTTTTTCTGTTCGTGAGTTGGGAGATATAACAAAGCAGTTAATGACTGGCCGCACGGGAAACTTTTCCTCTTAACCCAGGCATTAACTGCTTATTATTCTCGCAGTTTGATTGATTCTTACTTATGATCTATTGGAAGACAGACGTATAGATGACGTCATTAACATTTTGCCTTGCTTCTTTTCAGAAATAGATCAATAAAGACGTCAAAATGTGGTAAGAACATTTAGTGACACACTCGGCTATCGCCTCGTGTGCCACTTTTTGTCCTTTGCACATTTCGACGTCATCTGTGATCAATTACTGAACAGACGCACGGCAACATGGAATCTATTTGTTAGATTATATATACATGAACAACAAATGGAATTTCTAGTACACGCTTAGGGTTATGTGTAGTTAGAGAGACGAACAAATTAGTCAGCATGAAGTTATCCTAGGTGACGACTATCAGTAAAAGCCTCACATGATTGTTTTTTTAAAACTATTTTTGGATGAAAATAATTTTTGCATATATTATTCTAAGGGATTGTTACATATTTTTTTGCTTCAGGTGGTGTTTCACAGCTGGCAAGATACAACGGAGGAAGTCCTGGAGAAAACTCTATACATCAAGTCTCTTTATGATCTATACGCCTAAACAGCTGGGTGATTTAGTAACAGAATTGTCTATCGTGCGTATGTTTTGATAATTTTAGACTGCAATCAGCGCGAGCAATTTGCGTAAAAAACCACTAGTTCCTAGAAACTGGGCCATTTTTCTTTCTCTCACGTCCTCCTCCTTTTTTGGCAATTATGGAAGAGAAGAACAGCAAACAACGAAAATACAAGTTCGAGAAAAAATCAGATTAGGTTGGTGCATAGCGCTGTCTTGTAGTATAGGAAGGTAAAGTAAAGTTATTACTGGTCTTCGAGTCTTGCACGATTACTTATGAGTGGAAATTAATCCAGCATGTCTTCTCCACAAACCTTCTTGTCAGTTTACTGAAGGTTTGAGACGATTAGTTTGTAATATAAATTGTTTAATTTTTCTGCGCGAAATTTTGTAGCACATTATTTTAATAAAGAAATCACAGCCCATCTTTGCTTTCACTTTACAAAGGTAGCCTGATTAACCGTAACGTTATGATAGTAGCGATAAAACTTCACGTTTCTTAGCAAATTCTGAAAGTAACGATAATAGACAGTTTTCGATATATTAAAATTCAGCTTGGCAGTGAGGCCTAGAGGACACAAACAAAGGAAATTGAATGACCATGTTTATTCATTTCTTTTGTTTGTGTCCTCTAGGCCTCGCTATCAGGCTGAATTTTAATATATCGCAAGTGGCCCATTGGTCTTGGCCTCTCTCTGGTCTCGCTTGGTTTTAAGGTGGCTCAAAACAGTTTCCAGCAGTTAGATTTTGATGTATCGTTATAACCACTCTTTATCACTTGATGCTACAATCATGGTATCAAAAACTAACTGGTTCGTCATTGGTAAACACGTTGTTATCATTTTCTTGACACAATAGGTTACCATAGCAACAGTATGACCTGCTATAAACATCCTTAATTACAGCTTTAGGGGCTTATAATTCAAAAACGGAAGGTGAAATTATGTTTTTAGCATCAAATTTTGATAAGCATGATAAGACGCAACTTCTTGGCAAAGTTTGAAAAAAATATGTACATAGGGTTCAGAGCCACCTTAAAGTTTTGAAAGTTGAAGGTTTTGGAATTAATCTGGGTTACGGGTGGGGTGCTTTTTTATGGCGATTCTGTAGGTTTCTTTGTGATATGAGAGTGACGGTTAAACGTTTAGTTTTAACGGTTAAACTGGTCCATTGAAGTAAGCACTGTTCACCTCTACACTGGGTACGGACAAATTAAATGAACGTTATTGTTTTTACTAGACGGCTTTGAAAAATCTAATAACTATAGCACAGAACTGAGAGCAGTAAAGTTTGCAAGTACGGCTCATAGAGGATCAACCTTCACTCCATATTTCCGAAAGAAACGAATAGACTATTGCATACAAAAAAATGATTTTCTTCAAATCAACTGACAAATATGCGAGAGAGTGCAAATGACCGACAAAAATCTCCTTGTAACCAAGCATCTCACTGTAACCATGTTTATGTTCGATTAAAACTGTGTTCCGCCACCTTAAAGCAATTATATATCATGGTGGATCGCAAAAACAGATTTGCAAGCGTTCCATTTAAACTCTCTTCAGGTAGCCATTCATGTTCCATGTTGCATTGTACCTGAAAAAGATTAATAAATAGGCTCAAGTTAATGTTCAGTTCTGGCTGTCAGCATTGTAAGCACAGGTTTCGTCTCTCAGTTAGACCCCTCTGTCCCTCCCTCTCTAACCAATAAACCTAACAGTTTTCTCACCCGAAAAAGTCGGTGTATCTCTGATCCACAAGATATTTATCAGAACGACCCGTTAAGAATTTCTTTAGAGCGTTCAGCTTAGCGGGACCTGCCTCTGTATAACCGAGCTCGTCTATAAGACCTTGATTGCTGTCGAAAGGAAGACCCGGATGTGTGTCCTCGACGCATATGTAGTCACCAGGCTCCGTAAATGCATCAAAGTACTCGAACACCTTTAGCATATTCACGTGTGAATCCTCCGTTAGGTACCATGGGTGAGGCAGATCCTGTATTGGCAAATCATTTACAGTCAAGTCAAGTGATTTCTTAGCAACAAAAACAAATGGTTATCAACTGGTCCTTTTTATATTAGATACACAGAATCGGTGCAGACGAATTACGCGCTTCTGTTTATGCGACTAGTGTGTAGATGGGACACACTATATCACTGCTATATGGTCTTCCAAAGCATCTACTTTCAAGATTATAATCCGTTCAAAATACCGCAGCTAGCTTACCGTATATGTAAGGACCATACCCAAGTTTATTCATTTTTCTGGCAGTTAACATCTATATCTCCTTCATTGAAATTTGAAAAGAACCTACTGTAAACGTCCGAAAGTAGCGACTCCCGGAAGTAACGCCAAAAAATTGTGCCCCGCTAATAAATCCCCAAAAGTAGCGATCCCCGAAAATAGCGAACCCTCCGTAAGTAGCGGGCCCAACTCCCCTACCCCCCGTCAATGAAAATAGTGAGACTAAGGTTCAGTAGCACATCTATTTTTCCAATCAATAGTCAGGTGAAAGTTACCGTACAATAACTCGATTTATGGCACTCTGCAACAAGGGAAGGTATCGCTTATGCCACGTAGCGTTATGAAATGTCAATTTGTGCTTCGTCAGTGTGCTGTCACAGTTAAAACAAAACCGTAGAATTTTCCTCTAGTAACAGGAACGTACAAACAGGAGCTTTTCTGTAAATCAAAATTGACAACTCTTTATTATTTCAGCAGGTGCGTATTAAAAGGAACGTTTCTTCAAACTTAAATTGAAAACTCGACCAACGCACAGCGATATTGTTACTTTAGAACTCGTAGGGAGTCACTCGAAGTTACTTCCGAGCTTGCTCCGAGTCATTCTGAGTCACTCTCGAACCTGCTCCGAGTTACTCCAGGTCACCGCTAAAGAACTTACTCTGAGTTGCTCCGAGCTACTTTTGAGGGAACTCGTTGGCTCTTTTGTACATCTATCAATAGATAATTATTTCCTTGCAACTGTTTTGGGCTTAACTGTCTTAAATGACTTCGTTATTTCTTAACCACTTCTGTAACAACGATTAGTGAAAAAGATGACAAGAGCTCCGACAACGTGCTTATTGTAACAGCGGAGTGTTTTTATCAACTATTCTGCATGAAGTGGTAAACCTTAATAGCAAGCTTTTGTTCACCTGCTTTTCACCTGATTGATGGTATGATAAAGATTTCATTAAACAGTTATTTACGCCAGTTGTTTTTTCATGTTTTGCGCTCGCCAATTTGAACTGCTCTATGTAATACAGTCTAACCTCCAATAACGGCCACCTTTCTGCAAAGACCACTATTTTTTGGTCCCGGCGGACAGTCCATACATTCACTCTTATTTTAACCCCTCTACAACGACCACGTCTCCACAACGGCAACGGCCACTTAAACGCGCTCCGACTGCCAAAATTAGGGAGTTTAAGAAAACCACGACGGTAACGGCAACGCGACCGTCGTTAAACAAAAGGTTTAATGAGCAGAACAATAGCTGTGCACGTGCGTTATAACTCTTGGTGCATTTCTTTGCCGTCCTCTGCAAAACAACAACGTGAAATGACCAAAGTCTGCGTTGTCCGTAGAACGTGAACCACGACGGCTATTTTTTTTTTATTTCAAATGTTTCGCCTTGTCCCGGATTCAGTTTCGTGATAGTTTTGACACTGAGAAACAAAGCAAACTGACATTAGAGTATCTAGAGATTCTTCGGTAAAATATAAAATCATTTTTTAACCGACGTTGTCCTCGGCGTCGCGTCCTGGTTTCTTAAACTCCCTAATAAATTATAACCTCTCGACAACGGCGAGTTAACAAGTGACTGACGAACGGTGTATACAGGTTCCATTTTTTTTTGTGGTAAAAGTCACCAAGATTGATCTGTGCCACGTGTCGTTGATCTCTGATTCTGTTTAGTTTCTGTTTTATTTATATATTTTGATTGTGGTAAGTATTTATATGCTAAAATAAGCATTTTTTAGAAACGAAATGCCGCATCCTGAAAAAACAGGTGTCAAGTTAAACCCCTACCTCCCCGTAACGGCCACTTTTCTCTGTCCCCAAAGTGGCCGTTGTGGAGAGGTTCGATTGTAAAAAGAGTTGTTTTGAACGGGAATAATCAAAATTGCATTAAAGTTATCATCGACATCGACATTCAAACAGAGCGACTTGAATTTACATAAAAGGTCAATCAGTCAGTCAATCATGCTAAAGATACAAAATAAGAATTTGCTTTGAAGATACCTAAACCTTGCGAATTTGTTTTTCAGCTTGAGGAAAGTGATTAATTTTAAGGGAACTACAATAACCTTAGTTAGAAGATTTCAAGTAGGTACCAACTCTGCGGTTACTAATTTACCTTCAGAAAGTCTGCTGGAAAAAATTTTTCCACATAAAACAAGTCTCCCTCAATGAACTCCACATCCGGGGACGCTTTAGGCAAAGCATCCAGCATGGAAAGGTTGATGTCGATGGATATCACACGTGACTTGCAACCAAACAGTTTTAACATGTCCGCCATCCACAGAGCTGAGCCTCCCTTGTAGGCGCCAAACTCAAATACTGTTTGAGGTTTGAGTTTCCATAGTAACTGCTGGCTTGCTGTCAGAGATAAGGGATCTTTCATGATTGGCACGCCACGCCAGAACGTCATGTATTTTCCTTAAGAAATAAATGGTAAATGAGATTAATCAGAATATGTGTTCTTTACTTTCTTTTCTTGAAAAAAAAAAAAAAGAAAGAAAAAGGGAGAGAGAGAGAGAGAGAGAGAGAGAGAGAGAGAGAGAGAGAGAGAGAAGAGAAAAGAAACTCCCTTGCTGAAGAGCTGCGCGAGTGAATCATGATTACTGAAAGAGCTGTGATCACAACTGGTGCCTGAGGGGGCCCTCGAAAGTGACGGCCTGTTGTTCATATGTTCTTCTCCCTAACTTCTCACGCGTTATGCAGTTTTGATGCTATCTGCATGTTTAAGGAATTAGTTGGGCTACACATATGTAGTTGTTATCGTTTCCTCAGTATTCTCGTAATAGAAATTTTTCACCGGCGTAGTTTTTTATAGCGCACTTTTGCAGCCTTGAATCTGCTTGCTTTTGCTCAGTCTTATTAGTAGGAGTTAGCTATCACACATGTCTTACCATGACACAAGTTCCGAAGAACATCAACTGATAGCACAGAGGTGTCTCGCCTTTCTTCCATTGGAACAAATCTGTTTTTGTCATTCTGGGATAGTTCCTCTTTAACTTGTTCTGCCAGTCCCGGGTAATACGTCTTATCTTCAATTTTGCAATCCATGTTCCGAAACGAATTTTACTGAAAAGAAAGGAAAACAAAAAGCTATCATAACGCCTTATATTTTCGCGCTCCCCTGCGGTTTTTCCCCGCTAACATCAATACACCATATAGAGCGTTGTCATGGAAAGCTTAGTATTTAGAATTAAAATTATTAAGGTGTGATCTTATTCATGAACTAACTGCTTAATTACTTCCCATAGGATTAGCGTTTAAAATTGTATTATTCTGTAGCACCTATTACGTAACCTATATTCTTTTATTGCGTAACCAGTTCTGTTCTATGCCCTTGTAATCAATCTAAATTCAATAGTTTTCTTTCCTTTTCTCTCATTTTACACCTTGCGTTTGCATATTTAGGGTTTTGGGGTGATACGTGTTGTGAGGTTTTTCTGTGTGTAGAAGAAGAAGGTTGAAGTGTAGTTACGAGCGAGGTTAGAGAGTGGCAGGAACACGTCCGGAAGCACATTTTTATTACCGAGAAGCCATCAGTAAACCATTCCTAAATTCATGACAAGGAGCCATTTTCCGGGGAACGCGAGTGCTAAATAGCTGGTCGAAGTAATCGAAGGACAAGCGTAAAGTTCTATCGAAGTAGTCCGTTGTAAACCGAACAGCTGGAGTAAACCGGAGAAGAAAAGTTGCAGTATACATGACTGCGTGAAGACGTAACCGGAAGAAGTAACTTGAAAAGTGGGAGTAATAAACGGGAGTTTGGTTCGTTGTGTGTGTCACGTGTTGGTGGAACGTTGTTGGGGTCAAGTTCAAGGACAAGGACTTCAGACGCGCGCAGGGTGAACTGAACTGAACTACTGAAACGCTTACTTTTTTTAAGGAATTTTCTTGTGAATGGATTAAGTGTGCTGAAGTATTTAGCTTGTTTGTTGTATTCGTGTAAATAAATTAAGGTTAACTATTTAGCTTATTGTATTATTGGTAGTGACCCTATTTAAAGTATAATGTTATTTTAGTATAATTGTTGTAATAAATGCTGTAGTTGTTGCGTGTTTTCTCGGGTTTGTTTATGCTTAGTGTTTCTTTTTTTTGTTAGAGAGCGCCCACCTTAGCTTTGTGGCGCGGTTTCGTCACAAGCGAATTCACTCACGTGTCCAGCAGCCATGCAAATATATTGAAACAAAAGGAAGTGTTTACATAAGAAAAGAGTTGAACTCCCACAGGATTGGTTTGGTACACCAACATGGCCGCCGTTTCAATGTTTTGGAACAACAATATGGCTGCCATGACGTCAGGTGCATACGCTCCATAATGACCTAGAAGCCCGACGCAGTGTAGGCCGCATTGACGTAACGCCATCTACAACATTTTTCAAGGTTTTGGCTTAAGAGTTACCTAAAGTAATTCGATTTAAACCCAAAACATTTTTAGATTTTAGTCAAAGAATAAAGGCACTAAAATAGGAAAGTTTAATGTGTTACTTGCGCCAGCAGTCAGCCAGCGTCAGAGGTTTCCCGCTATTTGCCATTGAGAGAAATTCTGCCATCGGTGTGGAACGCTAAAAAGATGTGAACAGGAAAGTATGTGGTACAGGATTCGCTATAGAACACTACCTCGAAAGGGGATTTCTTTACGAGACCATTGTTCACTTTCTGGTAGAATACCATGGGATTTCTATCAACGCGAGGCTTTGAAGAGAAGGCTAAGGAAGTAGGAGTTGCGAAGCCGTTGATTCAGAGGGGTCAGAGGACACTGCTCGGGAGATAATTAAACGTAAATTTGAGTTTTATTTATATTTAGCGCTGCTTTCTGATCTGGATGCAGCAAAATGTATAGTCCTCTTTCCTGCTGGAAATTGGTCATGATCAGGCTCCAGTTGTTCAAAGGGCTTATAACGCTATCCACTGGATAAAATCACCACCCAGTAGATTGCATAGTTTGTTTTGTCATAGACTACGAGTAGTCCCTCTTTCGCTTAGTCCGTCGTACGTGACGCGAGAGAAAACCGCGCGAAAAAATGGCCGCGCGAACTCATGGCGACGATTTCACGCGGCCATTTTTTCCTCGCGGTTTATTTAAGGTCTCGCTCGACGGACTAAGCGAAAGAGGGACTACTCGTAGTCTAGTTTTGTCACGATTTATCTACTGGATAGTGATTCTGTTCTGTGGATGGTGTTATCTACTCTTCGAAAATCAGGGAGACTGCAGAATGGGTACAAAATACAGACTGAGAATAAAACTGTTCTTTCGTCTTATGCATCGTACGGGGTAACATGCAATTGACAATTAGAGCGAGAAATAACTTTGGATAAGAATCTTGGAGTAAATTAAGGAATGTTGAATTTCTCTGCACATGAAATGTATCTTATATTTATGTAAATGAAGAATTGGCGAATTTAGAGGGAAAAGCGACGCGTTGTTTTGGTGACTGGCCATTTGTTTACTTTGACTTGTGGCTTTATCTTGATTCTGTTTGGTTACTCAAGTTATTTATATGTGAAAATCAGTCATTGCGTTCACTCTTGAACACCGAGAATGGATTAAGACGAGGGAATAGTTATGGTCTCAATCTGAATTCTGTCTACGAAGTGAACTTGACTGATGCATTAGGTTAAGGGTGTCCTTCTTAACTACAGATTTAGCAGTTGCTAAAGGATTGCTGAAGGCGATACTTAGAGGAAAGCTACTTTGGAGCGTTTTGCAGCGCTAAATGATGAACTTTTAGTGAGCGAACGTTTGCTTTGAAAAAATATGACTTCGCGTGCGAAACTAGTGCCAGTCCCAAACCGCTCGGTAGAATTTTAAATCCCAAAAACTTACAAGAAAAGAGGACGAGTTTCCATTTTCTCATGAATCAGAAATAACTTAGCCTTCTTTATAATCCTACGTATGGAATTACTGTTTACACGCAAAAGAGGAAAGCAACTGTAAAAAGTCTGTTAATACGGGTGTTTATTATCCCATATTATATGGCTTATTTTTTTTAGCCGATACAACACGCACTCTGATTGGTTAATTCTAGGACATTATTCTCCTGTAACGGAGGAGCGCACGAAGATGTAAAAAGCAGGGTAGGCAAAGCCAGGCAGGCCTTTAATACCCTAAGACCAATGTGGAACTCGACATCAATATCCATAAAAACCAAGCTACAAATCTTTACCACCAATATGAAGTCAGTTCTTCTACACGGTTCCGAGACCTGGAGAGTGACAAGATCCATATCAAACAAGCTGCAAACCTTCACTAATCGATGTCTGAGAAAGATCCTAAAGATATACTGGCCAGAGAAAATCAGCAACAGGGAACTTTGGGCAAGAACAGAGCAAGAATGTATTCCAGCAGAGATCGCCAGACGCAAATGAAATTGGATTGGCCACACATTGCGGAAACCAAAATCTGATACAACCAGACAGGCCCTTGAATGGAATCCGCAGGGTAAACGGAAGGTAGGAAGACCAGTTAAAACCTGGAGGAGGTCAGTGGAAGAGGAGCTCAAAGAAGCCAACATCACCTGGACTACGGCAAAAAGAACAGCCGCGAACAGAGTCCGCTGGCGCAGCATTGTAACCGCCCTTTGATCCACCAGGAAGGTAATGGCCTAACTAACTACTATTCTCCTGTAATGCCCACGGGCCGATTACGGGCTTGCAAAAACAAAGTAGGAGACCATATAATAAACAACTTATTAACCTCGAACGTTTGGTCTTCACGGGAAAATCTCAAACCTCAGCTTTGCTGTATTGACCTCGCTATCGCTCAGTCAATACGGCAAGGTTTGGGTCTGAGCTTTTCCCGTAAAGACCTCACTCTCGGTTAATAAGTAGTTAATAACGTTTATGATAAAGCGAGTTTGATAAAACCCATGCGTAGCATTAAGCACGCGGATAGCAATCTTGTCAAAATGATCTTGTGCTGTCACTCTTGTTTCTCGAATATTTATTTATATCAAGGCAGCGCATGTGTTTTACCACAAAAAAGGGTCACCTCTCAAGGAAGTCTTTAAGCGTGAGCTTTGCTTGAAATCTAGTCTAATTAACAATTAGATTATGAGCTCGAGATTTCTATGAGGTGATAGCTGATGAGGCCGAATGCCGAATCAACTACCACTTCATAGAAATCGAGAGCGAATAATCTAATTGTTTTAGTAGAATTCTTACTAAAATTTACATCAAATAACGGCTTCCAATTATTTCTTGACGTATTATTAAACTTTGCACCTGAAAAAGGTCGCACGGATTGAATTGTCATTTAAAATTGAAGTTGTGTGCGCGCGCATCAGTTTTTTCAATAATTTCAACCTTTTTAAATGCCAAGAAACCGACAATGTCCTTCATTTTGACTTCTCAGGAATTTAATTATCCATTTGTGTCAAAATGTTCCTCTAAAACTTTGGAAAAACGAAAAAAATGTCCCCATTTCCTAGACGACCTCCAGCCACTGCACACTAATGGCTGATAGTGTTCGATGGCTCAGCCAATCACATTACAGCATTTGCATTAGTATACTAGTAGAATTCTACTAATTGCCGATACGCGAGATTAACTTTATAGATTTGCTCAATCTGACAACAGGTACCTGGTACAACCTTCACCAACGGAAAATCACGCGAGAACAATGCTTTGACATAAATTACATTATGTCTGGTCATACATGTAATGTCTGCTTTTAATACCGACATTTCACAAGACAAGAAGACTCTGAAGGCTTGAAATTCTATTTTATAACGACTGGCCTTGACGCTTCGTTCAAAGATAAGGAATATTCAAGGAATATTCCCAACTAATGAAAACGTTCGAGGAAGATGGCCTAGAAAAAGCGACTGAGTGACACTATAGCAAAGCTTTAATATGACATCTGAGTTATGGCCTATTTAAGGACGTCTGAAAAAAAAAAAACGGATTTTATTCTCAATTTACATCCTGCAGTCTGTATTGAGCGATGTCACCGCCTACGATCTGTATCCAGAAGAGATAAAGGGGCCACTACTTCACGTTTAATTATTTAAATTGATTAATATTTACAAAAGCTTGTCGAGGAATGTGCGAACCAAAGCAGGAGTTTACTCTCGCAATCGCCAGTGACGAGAAGAGTCAAACTTGTGCTGTTCCTGTACGGACAGTCTGTACACCTGGTACATCATTTTTACACCCTAATTAAAAAAATTATCAATGTATTCCAACATATTCTTGAACGTTTAAATCATTGAAAACGTCGTCATTCCAATTTGGATACATAAATTTTAATTAACTGTTACATAATGCCTTCTCACTTTAATGCTTGTTAAGTAGGATGAAAATGTTGAAAAGTGATATTTGTATGTCGAGTTGCTGTATCTAAATTTACAGTATATACATGAAAATTGCAGTCTTTATCTATATACCCGAATTGGAATCTATACTTCCAAGGTATTGCTAATCTATCTAAAGGGATATGTAATATACATTCAATAAAGCACACGAGTTATAATATGGAATATGGTCTGCAAAGAGGGTCGTACAGGGAAGGGAAGGGAAGGGGGGGAGGGGGGGGGGGGGGGGGGGGGGGTGTCTCTGGTACGGTTCACGAACGGAACCGGATCACGAATATAAAAATTTCGTTTTCTCGAATCACGAAAATAAGCAAGTAAGTACTCTTTTTAATAACCTGTTCTTACACTAGAAAGAGTGTTTGAAGAAAGAAGAATCGTGAAAGGCTAAGTCAATGCTCCATATTGCAAAACTATTGATCTTCCTGAGATTTTAATGATGTATAACAGCAGCTGAAAACTAATCTTCATACACATTTTCGCTCCGAATGGGTTCTTGGTTTTGTGATACACTACGCTTGAATTTCGAACCATTTGCGTGACGCGGCATTTACACGACGGCGTCACGATGGTTAAAAAAGTGACTTATTTCGGGGAATTTGGCTATCTGAACAGTTCATGTCTTAGAAAAA